AGATAACTTATCCAAACTGGGGTCAAGAACATGGACAAAGGCAACACAACCAAAAACGTGAGGCAACAAGGAAAACGGAGACAATATGGGATATAATAGAGAATAGGGAGACATGTGTACAACACTAGAAGGCATGTGGTTAATAAGAAAACAAGCAGTTAGAACTGCGTCGCCCCAAAACTGTTTAGGAATATGCATATTAAACATTAATGTGCGAGCAATATCTAACAAATGGCGGTGTTTCCGCTCTGCAATACCATTTTGAGGAGATGTATGAGAACAACTAGTTTGATAAATGATGCTCTTCCTTTCTGCAGAGGATGGATCGGACTGATCCACACTTCCAACGGATCCGCTGGCCCTAAAAGACAAGGGGGTGTGCCTGCAAAAAGGTCCAAAGGGGGAGGTAGTTCCCCGACGAACACTCCGACGATCAAGTTAGGTTGGGGCAGATTGAGTGAGAGAGAGAGAGAGAGAGAAAGTAAGGGATGGAAAAGCTTAACCTTTAATGTGTCCCGAAAGCTTCCTTATGTCCTTTGCTTATCATTTCCATGTCCACTCCAAGCTGTCTTGTTGGCCGAAAATCTATAGCCTAGTTGATATCGTTCATGGTGATTCTGCCACTCTGGCGTGAGGGGTCTTGCGGCATTTAATGCTACGGTGGCCTCATTAAATGACTGACGTAGGTGCAATAACTTTGCAGGATCTTTGTCTGCTTATGTGGCTAACTCCCTACTTGCCAGGTGCTTGAATGCCAGTGGTCCTAGCCTAGCACTGGCTTCTCAGAGTTATTGGGCGTTTAACACTTGGGCTGTGGGTTGGACCTCGCTATGAGTTGGGCCTTCTTGGGTGCCCATCAGTAAGGGTGCCCATTAATACTAATGAATAATACCACAAGCATCACAAAAGGTAGTCACAATAGACTGGACATATTCTAAGGCATTATCAGACCGAAATATTTTAATACGTTTCCCAAATTGAGTAAAGATTTCATTATAAAATTTAGAAATAATAGAAGGAAAATTCGATCTCTGTTTCATTAAAAACAACCAAGTCATCTGAGAGTAATCATCCACAAAAATAACAAAATAAAAAAAAAAACCATTAACATTGAAAGTGGTCTAGAAGGACCCCAAATATCTGTATGGACAAGAGCAAACGACTCAAACACATGCATACCACTACGACTAGGAAAAGAACTACGGTGATGCTTCCCAAATTGACAAGCTTCACACTCAAGTTGAGAAGCATGACTCAAAGCAGGAACAACTAACTTGAGCGTAGCCAAGAAGGGATGACCCAAGCGTAAATGCCACTGAAGAAGAGATACAGTTGCACTCAACACAACAGATGGAGGGTTAGGAGAGTGCTTCGTGTCCAAAAGTATAAGCGATTCTTCTCATACCTTGAACCAATCATCCTCTTGGTTATCGAACAGTGGAGAGGTTTTGTCAATTGGCTAACAAACAGTAAATTAAATGGAAACTTAGGAACATAAAGACCCGAAGGTAACGAAAGAGATGACGTGGGGTGAAGAGGACCTTGACCACTGACAGGTCGAGGAGATCCATCAGCAAGTATAATAGAATGATCAACATGTCTTAGAGTATCAAAAAGTGGGGAATTACCAGAGATATGGGAACTAGCACCAGAGTCTAGGAGCCAAGGCTAGGTGGACTTAACTATACATGCAATATTACTTGAACTAGCCATAGTAGCGGTAGACGATAAAGGTAGACTAGGCTGGTGGGACTGGACAAGAGCGTTAAGCTCACTAATCTGAGTAGTGAGTGTCTCATGAGACTTAACCGGAGAAGCAACAGAACCAGTGGAAAGCAAGGAGGATTGTGAGGATGGGGCATCCATAACTTGATAGACATGGTCCGGTTTACCATACTTCTACCAAAACCAAGGTTCTGTATAACCTTGGGAACCACAATAAGTACACTTACGATCACCACGTGTGCGACAACCAGGTCCACTACTACATCCACCCTTGAAACCACCACGGAACCAGCCCCACGAAAGCCCCATGAACCAGAATAAGAGCCCTGTTGAGCAGATGGCCAAAAAAAACCCCTCGAGTAGACCCATGATCACCACTATTCGAGACTAATGTAGAAGATGATAAGGTAGAGGACCCAGAGGTGGGTTGTGCCTATCCCAAAGAAGAACGTGACAGCTGAGAATAGGCATTAGCAGCAGAAGGTAAAGTCTCACTGGCAAGAATCTGATCCTTGAACCCCTGCAATTCAGGATCTAAGTCGGAGAGTAAAGAAGCCATCATAAACTTCTTCCAATGTTCCTTCTGTTTGTTCATATCAGTAGTGAAGGGTCGATGCTGCAATAATTGATCCCACAAGGTCTTGAGACTACTATAATAATCAGAAAGGGACCCGGTCAGATTGGCGCATAGCAAAAATCTGCTCATATACCCGAGAGACATTACTCTGATTCGAAAATGATTCAGCAAGGGAGTCCCAAATTTCCTTAGAGGTATCACAAAATTCCACAGTAGTAGCAACATGTGGTTCCAAGCTATGCCAGATCCTACCCATAACACAGGAATCCTCACTACACCAATCTTCATAAGCTTTGTTGTCAGTGACAGAAGGAAGTTCGCTAATGAAGCAGGATTTCTTCTTATCACGTAAGAAAATTTTTACAGCACGGGCCCAAGTCAAATAATTGGCACCATTCAATTTCTTGATAGTAATAGATTTGGGCATGTCATCATCTTTACCCACAGCCATAGCCTTAGTCTCAGTTTCAGCTATGACAATGAATCACACACAATACTCAACACAAGAGTATGAATGTAGCAGAAACCTTGCAAAAAGGAATTACCCACACTAATCAGCACTTACAACAATGAGTATAGATGCGAAACTAGTTCAATCGACCAAACAGATTTGGACCTAAATTCAACAGAAAAAACACCAACCCACCAACACAAATCAACACTTTAAGATCAAACAGTCATTGCTAGATAATTTTCGGCCCCTATACAGTAAGTTTCAGTAGGTAGAAACTGGAAAATAACACTGCCGAACGTGTACAGTTCAGAAAGAGGCCAAAATCGAATCGAATCAAATATCAACCCAACAGCAGTAAATCAACAAAATAATAGCAAATAACACTCAGGGAGTGTATTTCGGCTCCTAGAGATAGAGTAAATCAACAAAATAATAGCAAATAACACTCAGGGAGTGTATTTCGGCTCCTAGAGATAGGATTTCAGCAGGCAAATTCAACAAAAACTAGTCCCAAAGATTGACACCAAAAAAACTTAGGTATTAAGAAGAAGGAAACTAGAGCCTTATAACTAGCCTGGGACACATTCTAACACACCCTCTTGGACCACAACATATAGTGGCTAGACAAACAGCGCACCAATCACAGGCCTAACCAAGCTTTGATATCAAAAAAATCGAAAAACATTCAAAAATAGAAAACTCACTTCAAGGATGATAAAAAATTTCACAAAAATCACCATAAGTCTGAAGAGGAAATTTCAAATTTAGGGGTGAAGGATCCGTTTGTACAGTGCTTACATCATGCTGACGTCATCATATGGCCGATGATATCAACATGTCTCGATCGCCTCTAATCGATCTGTAGAGTCTTTAGAAACTTTCTAATGAAGAATAGATTGCTCTGATACCCGATTCGTGCGGATTCTTCCCCTAACTACCGAAGAGATCTTGGCGGAATTGCCACATATGAAATTGAGCACAATTTTGTAAAGAAATAGTCCACTTGTTTCTCGAGAAGAGATGGGAAACATGATCAATATCATTTGATTGAATAGTTGACCCAGCCCCCTTGTTGTTTGAAGAAACCCAAGTTAGAATGTAAAATGAAGGAATTTAGAGTTGGGATTTAGGAAGAAGAAGAAGAAGAAGAAGAAGAAGAAGAAGAAGAAGAAGAACAGAGAAATTTTATATATGTTGAATAATCATCTTTTCTCAACTCTACATCAGCAAAATATATATACAAATTCTAACATAGCAATATGACCATTGTACCCTCAACTTACGTAAATGTTAACAAGAGATCAAAAATAAGTATTCTAACAGTAACCAAGCTAAGTCTTGGAGACTTGCATTTATTTACTATTGTCCTTATAGATCACATGCTATAGATTTATGTTTCAGGATCGATGAATGTATTAATGCGTGTGATGTTATTTTGTAAAACTCAAAGGACATTTATGGAGTATAGTTTTGGAGATGTTTCTAGTATCATAATGATTGAGATTTATTAAGCTTCCGCATATATGTTGAGGAATATAATGGGTAGTTCAGTATCTATATTTTTGGGGCGTGACAGTTATTAAGGTTGGCCTCCACAGGGAGTACCTCATATCCTTCTGGAGAGAGAAAACAAACTGAAGAGTGAGAAGAAAGAAAAAGAAGGCAAGAGAATACATCAGTGTTTATGTAAGCATTTGGTGGGGGGGATTTCAAGGTGGGATGGGTAAGCTAGACCTGGTGGAGTTCAAACAGATTGAGATGGTGGAGGATGCAATTTGGGCTATCGGAGAATTACACTTTTAATTTTCTTTGTTTTCTCTACATACTTAAGTAATCATTTCATTTCTTTCTCACAGTTTCCTAAATGGAATGGAATGTTAGGGATAGGTTTGCTTTTGTGTTCGTTACTAACCATGATTCTTGGGTCCACCACTGGATTTAGCAGAAATCATCATTTTGATTTATTAGAAGGTTCATTTACATTTCTTATGAGGCAGCTGTGTTGTAGCTTTTATCTGATTCAAGCATCATGTTCTGAACTATGTTGGAAGTAGTTTCAAATTGTATGCATAGCTATTCCTATTTTAGAAAAAAAATTTCCTTATTGAAAATTTTTTCTTTTCCTTTTTGCAATTTTTTTTTCTATAGTTATATTCAAATCTGCCCCCTTGTTTCTGATGACTATGTCCTTGAAGTACTGTGTTATTTACCTTCTTATTCAGTAAACTTGGCTTCCTGATGTAGCTTGAAGGTGAAGAAGCTCAGCACTCAGCGAAAAAGCGACTTGAACGTGAAAAAGCTCGTAGAGAGGCAACTGCTGATATGTCAGAAGACTTATCAGAAGGAGAGAAAGGAGACGTGGTTGGTGATATGTCAGCTCATGGTGGCAGCACTAGAGGAAGAATGCCAAGGATCAGTTCTGTTGATGCTATGGAGAACTGGGCTAATCAACACAAGGAAAAGAAACTTTACATTGTGTTAATAAGGCATGGATTAATTACTTTCGTGCTTTCTTTTTTTATATTTGTATATTTTAATTTCTTTTAAACACTTAACCTCTAATTAAGATTACTTGTGACAGCTATTTTAAAATATATATATGCCGATTAAAAATATATATATATATATATATTTGTGTATTTTGTTCTCCTCTTTTTTATTTATTTAATTTTTTATACTGATGATGAGTGGAAAAATTCCAAAATAATTTAGACATTTGTGGTGGAATTTATTTCCTTTTAATCACCAGTCTTCCTGCAGCCTCCATGGATTGATACGTGGTGAAAACATGGAGCTTGGACGGGATTCTGATACAGGCGGTCAGGTAGCTTCTGGCCATGATTTTCTTTCTACAAATTCTTGTTGACATGGTTTTGTGTGACACCTACATTATCAAGATCTGAAAAGTGTATCTCATGGGAAGTTCTTGCTTATTTTCTTTGGTACTCAGGTTAAGTATGTTGTGGAACTTGCCAGGGCCCTAGGCGAAATGCCTGGAGTTTATCGGGTCGATTTGTTGACGAGGCAAGTATCATCACCAGATGTAGATTGGAGTTATGGTGAACCAACAGAGATGCTAAACTCGAGGAACTCAGAAAATGACATTCATGAAACTGGGGAGAGCAGTGGTGCTTATATAATTCGTATACCATTTGGCCCAAAAGATAAATATATTCCCAAAGAGCTCCTTTGGCCTCATATTTCTGAATTTGTGGATGGTGCACTTTGCCACATCATACAGATGTCCAGAGTTCTTGGTGAGCAAATTGGTGGTATGGAACCAGTCTGGCCTGTTGCCATCCATGGACATTATGCAGATGCAGGTGACTCTGCTGCTCTTCTGTCAGGAGCTCTAAATGTACCAATGCTCTTTACTGGTCACTCACTTGGACGAGACAAGCTTGAACAACTTTTGAAACAAGGACGACAGTCAAGGGACGAAATAAATGCCGCATACAAAATAATGCGACGTATAGAGGCTGAGGAATTATCTCTTGATGCCTCTGAAGTAGTCATCACTAGCACTAGACAGGAAATAGAAGAGCAATGGAGGTTGTATGATGGATTTGATCCAATATTAGAGCGCAAACTAAGAGCAAGGATTAAGCGCAATGTGAGCTGTTATGGCAGGTCTATGCCTCGCATGGTTGTAAGTACCAAGATTGTCTTCTTGTTAAACCAATGAGGCTCCACTCAGTAGCTAAATCAGACACTATTTGATTATTGTTGGTTCTCTATTTGGTTGGTTAGGTCATTTCACACTATTTGCTGCTTGTACATGCATGTTCAAAATTGTCATATTGGTATTAGGTGATGCCTCCTGGAATGGAATTTAATCACATTGTTCCACAAGATGCTGATATGGATGGGGAAACTGAAGGAAATGAAGATAATCCACCTATTTGGTCTGAGGTTTGAACATTTTTTGTTCTCTAAATCTGTTCATTTGTGACAGAGACAATCATTTATGTTGTTGACTTGATTGTCCAAGTTACTTTCTGCTGCAGAAAATCAGCCAATAAACATATTTCTGATCATGGTAATCTTCTGTTTTGCAGATAATGCGTTTCTTTTCCAATGCTCGCAAACCTATGATACTTGCACTTGCCAGGCCAGACCCAAAAAAGAATATAACTACTTTAGTCAAAGCTTTTGGAGAATGCAAGCCATTGAGGGAACTTGCTAACCTTGTATGTTCAAACTTTGAGTTGCATTTGATTATTAATACATCTATATGATTTTGTGAGCTGTTGAAAAGTCTTAGTCAACTGAGGTATCTTTTTCAGTTCTGTGACTACACCTTTGCATTTCTGTTGTTGCAGACATTAATAATGGGCAACCGTGATGCTATTGATGAAATGTCTAATACAAATGCAACTGTTCTTCTTTCAATATTAAAACTTATTGACAAATATGATCTGTATGGTCATGTGGCATATCCTAAACACCACAAGCAGTCTGATGTTCCTGACATATATCATCTGGCAGCAACAACAAAGGTATCTTTTTGCAAATCATAAATTGAATTGTGATACGAGAAGGGTTATCTTTTGCACTTCCATGAAGCAAAATGATTAAGCATGGTTGAATAAATCGTGCTACAGTTATTCTGTCAATACATTTGCACATATGGTTTTTTCAAGTGTCATATTTTAATGTCCTCTAAATTTCCTTCTTTTTTTCCCTTAAGAATTTGACATTGGTCACCATTGTTTGGTAGTGAGTTATATCATTGACATGAAAGATCATCATGTAGGTATCTAATGGTTAAGCAACTTCTATTGTTGTATGATGTCATCCATGTGATCAGGGACGGAGTCAGGAATTTTGTTTATCAAGGTAAGTGTAGCCAAAAAAAAAAGAAGTTAGCTTTTGATAGAAGAAATTTCTTACATAATAATTATAAAAGAAATAATAATAAGAGGGAATTGGTCAATATCAGTTGTTTCCTAATAGTTATTTAAATTATTTCATATAATTTTTTGATCTATATAATTAGCATCTTAGATTAGACTATCATTTTAAGGCATTTTATTGGTTCATATAATGTACATAATTAAAAAAAATTTAAAAAAAAGAAGCCTTTGTGAACAACAAATGACATTTACATGTGTAAAACCAAAACAATAGAATTTACGTAATATGTGAAATAGTTGGGGGTGATTCCATATACATTGTAAGCATACTCTTGAAATGTGAAATAGGTTTCAGCTCCAGAGGGATTTCTAAGCACCCTAAATAATGAGGAATAGCTCCTACGTTTGAATTGGGATGCCAGAGAGGTAGGGGCAGTTATTGACAGAGCACTGCCCTTATCTTCAAGCTGTAACTGTAAATGCCAAAGATTGTGATCCTATAGCCAGACATGCATGAGGAAATGAATTATTCATTGTAGAGTAAGATAGGGAAGTAGGGGAATATAGATCGAAGATAACTCACTTTGCATCTTGATGCCCTGCTTAATGGCCCTATATGATGAAATAGAGGGCATCTTGTTATTGTTATTGTTGTTAAATATCATTTTTATTATTCACTTTGGTTATAGATATATGTAAGTAAAAGAATATGACTGGGGTAAATGAGCAGTTGTAATTACCTGATTATGTTTTTCTTTTTATTTTATTTTTCTATGCGCAGTATCATTTGTGATGATATTACTCTATTATTTTTCTAGTTTGACTTTCTCATTCTAACGAACATTTTTTAGGGTGTCTTCATCAATCCAGCTTTCATTGAGCCATTTGGGCTCACTCTTATTGAGGTGCTTGCCATTACTTTATTAATTGCAGAGCTTTATGTTTCACTTCTTCATTCATGAGCTAATCCAAGGTTAGCTCTTTTCACTGAACAGGCAGCAGCTCGTGGTTTGCCTATGGTTGCCACAAAAAATGGAGGTCCAGTTGATATTCATCGGGTGTGTCCATTGTTGGAACCTTATTGCTTAAGGCTGTGTTTGGATGATGGATTTGGAAAGGGAAAGGAAAAAGTTTAGGGAAATGGAGAAAAAATTTAGCTTAATCGCTCACCTTTTTCCTCTCCCTTCCCATATCCCTACACAAATCCATGATCCAAACACAGCCTAAAAGAAGTTTCTGATTTGATATTTGGAGTTGTAGCAAGATGAACTGTCATCCTAGTTTTTCAATACTGACCATGGCTTAGTTCAGGTTCTTGATAATGGCCTGCTAGTTGACCCCCATGATCAGCATTCTATTGCTGATGCTCTTCTCAAGCTTGTTGCAGACAAGCAACTTTGGGCAAGATGTAGACAGAATGGACTGGAAAATATTCACTCTTTCTCATGGCCGGAGCATTGTAAGACATACTTATCTCGAATTGCCATCTGCAAATCAAGGCAGCCGCAATGGCAAAAAAGTGACGATGGATTTGAAAATTCAGATTCAGATTCACCCAGTGATTCCTTGAGGGATATCAAGGATCTATCTTTGAACTTAAAGATGTCAATTGAGGGAAGTGGAACATTTGATAATGCTTTAGAGTTTGAAGATCATGCTACTGATGGAAAGAGCAGAGTAGAGAATTCAAGTTTGACATTGTCAAAGGGTACGGAAGAAAACCGACAAAAATCTGGTTACATGGAAAAAATAGACCATAATATGAGCAAGTCTCTAATATTAAGACGGAGGAAGTCAGTCTTTGTCATTGCTGTGGATTGTGATATGACTTCTGATTTTCTTGATATCATCAAAGTGATTGTTGGGGCTGCTGGTCCGGGCAAGAGTGTGGGCTCTATAGGCTTTGTATTGTCAGCGGCCTCGTGCATAACTGAGATATTCTCTCTTCTGAAGTCAGGAGGCTTGAGTCCGATGGACTTTGATGCTTTTATATGCAACAGTGGTAGTGAACTCTACTATCCATCCTCAACTTCTGAAAATGGTCCTTTTGGGCTTCCTATCATAGCAGATTTAGACTATTACTCGCACATTGATTACCGTTGGGGTGGAGAAGGTTTGAGGAAAACATTGGTTAGTTGGGCTGCTTCTATCAATGACAAAAAGGGAGTAGAAGGAGGACCAGTGGTTGCTGAAGATGAATCAGGATCGGCTAAACATTGCTATTCATTCAAAGTGAAAGACCCAGCATTGGTAAATTGTATCTGCAATTTGTTTGCGGAAAGCTTCCCCAGTCCACTAGTCAATTTGAATGCTTATTTTAAACTGTCACTTCCTAAATCAATTGACATATTGGTCGCCATGCACTTGTAATTTTAATACTTACTTTGTCTTTGTAGGTTCCTCCTGTTAAGGAACTTCGGAAATCGATGCGAATTCAGGCTCTAAGAAGTCACGTTATTTATTGTCAGAATGGTACAAAGATGAATGTGATCCCTGTGCTGGCTTCTCGATCCCAGGCCCTCAGGTGTGTTGTGGTTGTCATCTTTTCCCCCTTTTTATGTTATGTTTTTTTTGTTTTTTTTTCTTGGGTAGCATTTTGTTACAAAAAGAAAGAGAGTACAATATAGCTCAGCTCACGTACCCATACACATTATCCATAATGGGCATATGAAACACCATGGCAGCCTAAACATAAACACACAAATGGAAAGCAGCAAGTGTTCAGCAAAGAGCATTAAGCTGCTCACTTTATTTTTATTTTTATTTGTATTTTTAAGTAGACAATCTGTCAAACAGTCTTGCAAGGTCTTCGTTATTCTTATTGATAGTAGCACACTCTTGGAGCTATCAAGTGATTGTGGTTTTACTTTGCAGCATGGTATCAATCGAGAACATAATCTGTAAATTTTCTATGACTATCACTGTGCTCGACATGTTTGTCTGGTTAGACTTATAATCATTTTGGATACACTCACATGCTCTTATCTTACCTATGTTACATGGATTCGGGTGTAAGTATCGGGTGCGGATGCGTGTCCAAATGTCGGACTTTCCTAAACTTAAATATTAGATATTGGGATATGTATCTAAAATTAAGTGCACATATCCTGCACACTTATAGGGTATATATTATATAATATTCTTATATAAGATAATGTAAATTATTTAAAACACGTGAAATTAAATAAGATTTGCTAGAAATGTAGAATTTCTCTTTTCCATTCATGTTAGCGGTAAGAAATATTTCTTTTACTAAAAAATGTGAGCTACTTTTTTTTTTCTTTCCAAACATCGTATCGGATGAGTGTCTAATGAGTATGGGTGCAAGACACATCCACACCCTTACCCATGTTATATCCCGTGTCCACAGGTACTGTGAGGAAATAGAAGAGTCCACGTAACAGAATATCTTTATATACACATAATTTTGTAGGAACCCATATTGTGGTAGGTAGAGTTAAATTCATTGATAATCCGTGGTGTTTTTATGATTGTCTTAATCTAAGTAGCATGGATACTACACGCAATATGACACAATGATGTTAAAAAAATACAAGATACGACATGGTTGGGTCACGTTAAATTTTTTTCTTTTTTCTTTTTTTTTATATTTTAAAATATCTGAGTGTGTTGAAAAATATGTAACATAACACTAATTACATATAAAAAATCACATTAAACATCTAGATATCATTCATATAACAATAACATCCTAAAGAATGCAAAACCATTATAGAACATTGCAATTCATGTTCCAAGTATTTCAAAAATATTTGTAGAGTGCATATGTTGTGTTATGAAGAATGCAAAACATTGTTATTATTCATCACATGTGATGTGTCTATAGGATTCAAGAAGTAATCACCAAAATGTCCTCGAAATGTGGATAAAGTGTCCAATGTTATGAATATGATTTTTTAAATAAGACGTATTGAAGAAGTGTTGGACATGCTTTTAGAATTGTTCAAAGAGTGTTGATGTCTGACATGACACACTTCCTCCACAGAAGTGTTCGTGCTTTTTAGGTCTGAATCGATTTGTTTGATATATCACTCATCTGTTGATATGTTTTGGTCATGAAACAATGTTTGAAGTAGTGTTTCCTGCCACTGGTTTGGTTAAATTAAAATGAGAAGTTAACCAGATAATGTTCAGAATTTTGGTATGCATCTTATGTTCCAGTTACACAGATTCACGCATTAGTTTAGTGCTTTTGACGATTGGAGTGATATGTGAATTTTGAATCATGAGAAGGTTTTGTAAGGTTCGTCAATTATCTTTTTGCATTACTTATGACAGAACTCATTATGCCTTTTTGGAAATATCTCATTTTTATGCTTTCAACGGTATTGAGACTAAAACGTAGCTTGTTTTAAAGTTCATCTGCAGTACATGCAGCCCTGAATTTTGCTGTACAATTGCAACTAGTTATCGAAATTCATGACTATTATGAGTGAAAAAGTTGTGAAAACTAAAGAGATTTGTGTACACAATGCTAAGGCAATTTCACATCCCTATGCATCCGGGTGAACTTTCCATTTTTGTTTATTCTTTTTGTGAAAACATCTCTCCTGCATTTTGATTGGGGTTTCAACATTTCTGTTTTCTTTTTATGAAATAATTTTTGGTGGTGCTACATGTATCAATTGGTATACTAATTAATGTGTACCAACATATGTTATGATATTACCATTTTAAAATTACGACTCTACCCATTATACAAATTATAAATACTCAAAAACCTCTAAAATCGTGCTACATCATCCGTTTATACACTAATTGATATACCAATTGGTGCATAGAGCATTATTTAGTAATTTTAGGAGACCGTCTTCCATAATAATTGTACTTTCCTTGCAGGTACTTGTATGTCCGATGGGGGGTAGAATTGTCAAATATAGTGGTCTTTGTGGGAGAAAGCGGGGACACGGATTATGAAGGATTAATTGGTGGAATACACAAAACTGTGATATTGAAGGGAGTTTGCAGCGGTGCACACAAATTGCATAGTAACAGAAACTATCCTCTCGAATATGTTATGCCATATGACAACCCCAATCTTGTCGAGTCTGAAGGGTGCAACAGCAGCAATGTCAAGGCATCTCTGCAAAAGCTAGGTGTTCTAAACGGATAGAAATTTACTAGTTTATGCTTTTCCTTATATTTATGAGAGCGTCCCATATCACTATTCCCGCTAGTTGCTTTCGGCTTCTGATTCTAATAACTATATAGAATTCCGATTACTGTTAAATCAAAAGCCCGCTGGTTCTTGCCAAATGAAAACTTGCACGAATCATCCTTGTTATGTTTTAGGTCTCCCAGTCCATGAATAATTTCGTTGTAGTTCTTACTTTTCTTTTATAGCTCTAGTGTTCTGTATTCATTTCTCTCTCTATTTTTTTTTTTCCCCAGATATGCATAGTTGGATATTTGTTCTTTGTTGAATGGTATATGAGCACAATAACTTGGATGATTCTATTATGTCATTACATTGTTTTTGCAAGAAGAATCTATGGTTTCAGAGCAAGTCCATCAATTTCTTATCAATTGTGCTAATGCTAAAAATTTTTACAATGGTTACCAAAATATCAACTTCAACAACACAATGCTATCTGTCAAATCTCTATGGCATCAAATTTGACTATGATGACCAAAATATGTTGAATTTTAGCATGCATTATTTAAATTTACTATAGTCTACCATAAAAATATTGCATCATATATTGTCTTATATATGTATATATATTAGTATCACAAAATAAAATTTAATAAATTATTTTTAAAAATATAAACCTTCATAACAAAATATTTTCAAATATAATTTGAATGCATTCTAAATACTTAGACAAGACTCACTTATGGAACTTGCTCTATCAGTATTCGTGACTACACAACTTCAACATCATTAAGAACCATAAAATAAATTATTCTTTCACCCTTAAGTCCCTATTTGTTTATTGGATATAAAGGTCGGATATAGGTGTGGGATCATATATAATACAAGGTAGATCTCACATGTTTTTTGTTTTTAATCTCCCTACGTATCCTATGTTTGGTTGCTTCCATCTTATATCCTATTTTAACTAAATATAATATGAGTGAGTATATATAATCCATCTTATATTATATTTCGTTTTTATTCTTAGGTATTATATGTTCTCCTCAAACTCTTATATCTAATTCGGACAAACAAACGGGACTTTAAAATATAAGTCATTTTTCACTTTTAGTCTTTAACAAAAATGTTGGCATTTTCTGTCACAAAAGTTTAGTGTTGTAATTTGGACAAAATGGGAAGAATCTAATAGTTTAATAACCAAAGTATAGAAAATATTTTCTCTATATAAATATAATTTACTACCAAACTAATATGAAGTATAAGTCAAGTTGTAAACAAATTAAATCGAACTTTGTAATGTTTGAGTTAGGCTCTTTTGTTTATCAAGCTAGAAAATCAAACTCAAACTTGGCTCGTAAATTAATTTATCTCGAGTTCGCCTTGACTTGTTGATACTAATTATTCTCAAGCTTAGCTTGAAAATCTGATAACAAAGAAAAAGTTTGGATCCATAATCAATCTCGGTTGATTGGTTAAATATTATTTTGTATTACAATATGCACATATAAGGGAAAATCACAAATTAGTGATATACAAAATATTTATAGATTTATAAAAAAAAATTATAACTTTAATTATTAAAATTAATAAACTTTTCACTAATTTGTAATTTTTTTGAAAACTTGCACCCAATTGCAATATTTCCTATAAATAATGATAGATTCTATTATTTAAATACCTAATACAAGAGTAGAGCTTATTCTAACTAGTGATATACAAAATATTTATAGATTTATAAAAAAAATTATAACTTTAATTATTAAAATTAATAAACTTTTTACTAATTTGTAATTTTTTTGAAAACTTGCACCCAATTGCAATATTTCCTATAAATAATGATAGATTCTATTATTTAAATACCTAATACAAGAGTAGAGCTTATTCTAACTCGAGTTAAATTGGTTTATTTAGTGAGTTTAAAATTTTAGTTTGAACTCATTTATATATACTACAAACTGAGTCAAGTAGAGCCGTACCACCTTAAGCCAAACCAAGTCACGGTGAACAAGTTGGTTCATTTGCAACTGTAGGCATAAATTGTCGGTTTAAATCTCTTACACTTTAGTTCTACTTATATAGAGAAAGGGTTGAATTTATTTTATATTTACATCTCAACATAAGAGGACTTGAGAGGCCCATGGGTAATTCAACTTATTTGGAAAAAAAAGTTGATTTTTTTTCATGTTCATATCTCAACATAAGAGGACTTGAGGGGTTCGTGGACTCATCACGAGTCTTATTTTCATAATCCAAACAACTCATTTTGTAGAGTCCTCAATTACATCATCTATCAAAAAATTATATTGATCTAAGAATTGTAACCTCTTTCATTTTATCGTGTCTCCAAAAAATAAAGTCTGTTTTTAAAAGTATATTTTTTGTCTACTTTTTCGTAAACAAATGTGATAGAATGAAAATGTTTCGATTATTGGATCAAACTAATTTTTTAATGAATATATATTGAAAGTTTTATAAAATGAACGGTTCGAAATATTGAAATGGAATCTATAATGAGTTCTACAGACTTCTCAAATAGATCCAACTAGTTTTTTAATTTTTATAAAATAATGAATAAATAATGCTAGAAATTTTAAAAATTTTACTAAATTTTCTATCGAATGTCTCGATAATGAATACTCGTAAAAGTACATTTGCACATGGCACACAAGGCATTAATCAGATGATGTACTCAAAGTCAAGAAGAAGAATTAATACTTCCCCAGTTATCATGTTTGCATGGGATGAAGCACCTCGGCATGGTGATTCGAGTACCATCATCAATTCAATTTCACATTTCTCACTTTTTAGGGTTTGAATTTTATTTGTTCAGTTTTTAATTTAGGAAAAATATAAAATAAAATTCTAAAGTTTGACCTCGTAACAAAATAAAGTATGAAATTTTAATTTTTTAATTTAAATTATAACCTTGTGATTTATTTTCAATTTAAATTACTTACCTATTTTCGTTAGGTAAAGCAAACGAAAAAAATAGTATCAAAATAAATATTTTAAATATTTTTTGTATGACTACATTGTGAGCTCTTTTAGAAATTAACAATTTGATTGACTTTTTAACTTTCTACGGAAAATACATGTAAAAAACTAAGTCAAATGATTATTTAGTTTGACTTTTTGGCTATTTCAATCAAAAAAAGTCTCCGCTCGAGCGGGAAGACCCACGCTCGAGCGGACCGCGCGATCCCAGATTTCCAGATTTGATTAAAGAGTTGGTTTTCTTCTGAAACTTGGATTGCTTTGGTTTTCTATAAATACTTGGTTTTCTCCCAAACCTGGGGGACGATTTTGGAACTTCTCCAGATCTTATTTTTGGATCTTAAGGTTTATATCTGGAGAGATTTTGATAGTTTTCTTTGATGTTTTTATTGAGTATTCTACTCATGTTCTAAAGAGAGTACATCAAAGGTTGTGTTTTGTTCTACAAAAGAGAGTGTTGTTCTTCAGTTGTGTATTCTGAAGAATTCGAGCCTGAAGTTGTGGTGGAATCCAGAGTGGCTCATCAGAAAGACAATTCCGTGGTGAAGATGGGGTTGGAAGAGGCACATAGAGGTTGGTTCAATTAGGCGTTGTGGATTCGCTAGGTAATTGAGAGTATACCTGTGTAATTCCTTTAATTCTTCTTAGTGGATTGTTCTTGTGGCTGTTGCCCGTGGTTTTTTGATCACAGTTGGAGGTGTCCAATTGTGGTTTTTTCCACGTTAAATCGCTGTGTCTTTTTGTCTTGATTGTTTGATTGTTTGATTGGGATTGTTATATTCTGCTTAAAATTGATACATAATCACAAATCAACATCTAGAGGATTTCTAGATTTTTCACACATGGCACACAAGGCATTAATCAGATGATGGACTCAAAGTCAAGAAGAAGAATTAATACTTCCCCAGTTATCATGTTTGCATGGGATGAAGCACCTCGGCATGGTGATTCCAGTACCATCATCAATTCAATTTCACATTTCTCACTTTTTAGGGTTTGAATTTTATTTGTTCAGTTTTTAATTTAGGAAAAATATAAAATAAAATTCTAAAGTTTGACCTCGTAACAAAATAAAGTATGAAATTTTAATTTTTTAATTTAAATTATAACCTTGTGATTTATTTTCAATTTAAATTACTTACCTATTTTCGTTAGGTAAAGCAAACGAAAAAAATAGTATCAAAATAAATATTTTAAATATTTTTTGTATGACTACATTGTGAGCTCTTTTAGAAATTAACAATTTGATTGACTTTTTAACTTTCTACGGAAAATACATGTAAAAAACTAAGTCAAATGATTATTTAGTTTGACTTTTTGGCTATTTTAATCAAAAAAATACTCTCTAAACAATCTTTGAGTTTAATAATTAAAATACTCATTTTTTGTCGGTTTTACTTGACATAAATATACGAATGATTTAATTAAAAATAAATAAAAACATTAGAATTTAAATTAATAAAACAAAAAACAAAAAAATTATTTTATTATAAACGTCAAATCTTAATATTTTTTCTTTCTTTCTCTTCTCCTCTTTAATTTATAAATATCAAACTAAGCATTTGATTATGATAGTGTTGGCTTATTTTTCCTACGAAGAAAAATATTATAAATGCGAGCGTGCCAGTAATGATTGAAAAATCCTTACAAATTAAATTCAAGCCAATTATCAAACAATTGCGTTGACGGTCTTTTGCCTCAATGAAGAGGACTTCAAAATTGCCAAGTGTAGAGAAAAGAAAAATTAAAAGAAAAAAGAGGGAGACGGAGAAAAACGATTGAGTGAACAATCAAAGTAATAATTATTTACCTCTACTCCTTTGCTTCGAAAATGAAGTGTATAAAATGCTTTGAAAAGGAAATACTAAAAATAAATACTTCGAAATATAAATCTATATTAAACTACTCCTAAGATAAGGAAAATGACAAGAAATATTGAAATCAATTGTCTTTAATTATGAATTCTGGATCTTTTACAATGTAGCCATGAATGGCTATTTATAAGCAAATATTTGTAGGAAAAAACTTCCAGCAATAACTACCCAATAACCACTTAAAACTATCCACTCTTCCATCTTCATTCCCATAATGCCACATATCTCTCATGTCTTCATAACTTCCTTTAACCTCCAATTTATGCTCCATGTTCTCCACTTTATTCTCCATCATCTTTTCACATATCATAACCTCTAAATGAGTAGGAGAATACCACATGTCGTGCAATTATATAAATAATAAATAATAATAAAAATTGCAGATTTATGGTGCCAACAGATAGAAACTTTAAAACGTAATCATATACACAAATTCTTTTTAATACACATGTTTTGTTTGAGATATGCTATTATTGTGAATTTTTATTTTGTATTTATT